ATACGATTGGCATCAACAGAGAATCAACGCAAGCATTCTTTTTAGCTGGCAACACCGAAGAAAGAAAGGCACCAAGAAAGAATCCTAACGACAAGAACCAAACCTTAAAGAACTATTATTTTGATACAAGTTTATCACTGTTACATGAGGAGATATAGCTATTTTCTCAATTATATACGGTTTGCCATCTTCGAGCCTACCGTACCCTCAATTTTGCTCGCTAACATGTGAATATTTGTACACCAATCGATCCAGCGGAATCTTCAGATGCAGGAAAACATATATTTTGTCGAGCGATTTTGCTTTCTTGAGGAGATATAGCTATTTCTCTAAACCCATCTGAATTAGCGCAGATACACTCATTCAAATACATTGTATCACTATAGATCAATTGTATACATTAATTTAGCACTATAAAGGTTACCATCTTGAAGCTAATCGTACCCTCCGGTTTGCCCAGTAACATATGGACTTCTTCAATCCAACCGATTCTTTAGAACCTTTAGATTCAGAATATCATACATTTTGCCGGGCAATTCCGCCTACTTGGGAAGGTATAGCTATTTTCTTAATGCTATCTCAAAGCCGTAGGGGTTGCCATCTTAAAGCCACCCGTACTCTAAGGTTTGTTCCAAAATATGAAAACTTCTATAAATCAGTCGATTCCTTAGAACCTCTAGATTCAGAATATCATATATTTTGTAGAGAAATTCGGCTTACTTCTGAAGATACAGGTATTTTCTTGATGTTAGCTCGAAGCTATGGGGTTACGATCTTCAAACCTATCGTATCCACCGGTTTGCCCAGTAAAATATCAATTTCTGGACTTCATTCTGTCCAGCTGAACCTCTGGATTCAGAATATTATGCACTTTGCTGAGTGATTCCGTTTACATGAGGAGATATAGCTATTTTCTCGAAGTTATCTCAACTAGCATGAAAAAAGTAAAGTGAAAAAAAGTCCATGTATAACCTCAGTGAACGAAGAGGACAGGAACGTGAAAACGCTGTTACCTATCTTATCTTACCAATAGCTCTTTTACTCGATCTTTATCACACTTGTTATGCATATTACATTTATACTTGAATAATTCATAAGATAACTCCCACACATATTTCTTTGGTAGCATCAAGTAGACAAGATTCACCATGATAAGATAAGTAGGTGTACTGCCGGAGGATGAAACTTAATTGTCGAGATTATATGTCAACGTTATTTGCTTATTTCAATCACTGTTCGCAAAAAAGTTGAGGCTATCTACAAACAAACTGTACATATTGGTGGGAAAAAGTTCATTTCCAAATTCTACGCACCAAATTGCTTCAGAAAATAACATTCTCATCTTTGCGTAATTTGTTTCATTGCACAGTATTATTTGTCACCATTTATTCACCAATATATTTCAGTAGACTTAATTTTGAGCATTTCGATAACTTTTTTGTGAGATTTAGCTATGAGGTACTCACGTGCGGGAAAATTATCAATATATTTCACTCGAAGTAATTAAATGCAAAGAAGTACAGCTCAGAGGAAATCATCATATGGATTGCTTTGAGAAATGGATATTTTATGATGAAGTGGATAAAACAAAACATAGCAGTATCAAATTTTGCGTGACACCAGTTACATCATGAAACAACAACCGATAATCAAGTGAAAAACGATCATGAAGAACGAATTGCTTTCGCTAATTTGAGGAGACTGTTACGATGAAGTGTATTTGATATGCCCAAATCAATAAGATCTTCATTCGTGAGCGACAAAAATGTCCCTTTGTCAACCTCCTCAGATTTCAGTAAATCCACATAGGTACCAAGACCAGCTTCACGAAGTTTTGTCCACAAAGAATCTCAATTTCATTATGATTAGATTACGGAAATTTGTACAATTCGAAAATGTGATAACGAGAGAAATAAATTCAATTGTAATATCTGAAAAACGCGCGGTACAAAAAAACAAAAACTTTTGGACTGTGTGAAAGCAGCCAATCGTAAGAAAAAAGGTAAATAAACTATTCATTTAGTAATGAATCAACGAGAAACGCAAAATAAATAGATAATTAAAATGCGCAAATACCTTCTTGAGCACGACGGCGTGAATATTTTGGAACATAATCAACCGATGAAACAGCATTACGAGCGCTGTTCCTTGCTGAATTCGTGACCACTTTCAGACAACTCGATGACGATGATCTACATATCATTGCACCGCCTAACATTGGAGTCGATGTACTTCTGAAACGTTTTTTGAATCCAATTCTTATTTTGTGCAATTGAAGAACGATTTGTCGGGCAATTCAAGTTCAAACAGCGACAAAAAAACAAAACATAATTGCGACAAGGCAATAAAAAACGATTGTCACAAACTTCCGCAAAGGTATTTTGTCATCAGGTAATGCGAAGGTGTATTGATTGAGTGACAGACGTGAGGGTGACGATCTATCATTCTCATCCTCATCACATTCATCCATCTTGACTGTTTCTCTAGATCGCATTCGGATTCGGGGTGTTGTGCCGAGTGTGTTTGTTGATCCGTGATGATCAAATAAATTACAACCTTGTATAGTTGGAGGCACTTGTGGTGATTTATCTAATTTATATTCATTTACCACATAGGTATTGTATAATTCACTGTGCAGCAAATATAATTCAAATGAAAGATATATTTAAAAACTTTAGTGATTTAAAAAACAAAATAGAACTGATCTCACCATCAGAACCCGATGCAGATGTTGATGAGCTGATCTTTCGACGATTCTCATCATCAAACAACAATCTTGTTTTGATACTACCAATCGTTCCTTTCCTCGAGTAATCACCCTTTGGAAAACGATATTCCTAGATAATTCATTCAAATTTCAATTCGATGTTCAACTGAGAATAAACATTCAAACAAGAATGTAGTTATTTAAATCATTCAGTTTTAAATACTCGCTGAATGGCAGAAAAAAGGAAAGCAAATCATCATCATTTGCTTCAGTATAAAGCGCGAAAGTTTTTGGTATTAAAAAACAATTCAGTCTAATGTGAGAATTGAAAAGTAGAGTGTTCGACCTATCAAATGAATCCAGCATAAGCCTGTAGGCATGTTATACGAATGAATTATCAGAAACTCACATAAAATATATCGGCATTTCGTTGCGCTAATGAGAAATACTCCTTTTGTCGCTCGCTACATTGTGATTTACCCGAGATTGTTGAATCTATTGAGTTACCATACTTCGCACTCATACCACTGTTTTGTTGAGATTCATCGCTGATTAATGCCACCGGAGAAGTTGCCCAACCTTGTGTGGCACGCTGCTAAAGCAACCACATTATTCAACGTTCACTTGAGTTTATTCGTTTGCGATGAACCTTCTTCTTTGAAGGCAAACGAATTCATATCAAACACTTCATACTGAATTGTGTTTCCATGTCAGTTACTATGCAAGGAAGAAAGATGAAAACATGAAGTAGCAACAAACTTCAGCGACATATCTTGCAACACGAATGCAGTTATGAAGTGGATCATCATTTTTGTTCGTGAATCGAATATTATGTGCAATGGAACGCAATATGTCACTAGCAACGATGAATTCGGATTGATTCACATCATTCGATGCACGGATGATTCGTTCAAAATGTTCTCGCGATAGAGATGATGAGCTTGGCTCTTTGCGATCGCCAACTCCCAACGATACTGACAATCCAACATGACTACTGATCTTATTCAACTAAACAAATGTTTGCATCTAATCATTCTTCATGAAAAACATTCCTCACATTGCATATTCGAAATTAAGTGATCAATCTCATTTAAAATGAACGTCTAACGATTTTCGATTTTCCACTGTGTATAACACGACTGAGCTGTTGATGAAGTTCGCTTTTGGGTGGCATTATAAAGCCTCGTTCCATATGTTGTTGTAGAAGGCACAACATTTCCGCATCAATCATTCCTTATCAAATCAGTTTTTAATTTATGAAATCTAAGGTAACTCATCTCAAAACAATCATCTTAATGAATTCTTCATCAAATATATTGGTAACGATCGATCCATCTGTTGAGACATGTTTTTCGAATAAATTTAAGTAGAGTCATACAGTCGAAACAAAAGCAATTCTATGAGTGACAATTTTAGCGATCATGTTATTATTGTTATTATTATTATTATTATTATTATTATCATTAATGCTTATAATAGACTAACCAGATGCTACAGCATAATCGAACGCAGTAAGTCCTTCAGAAGATGTAATTGACGCATCTGCACCTGCATTCAGAAGACATTCGATCATTTCTGCATCACTAGAATTTGAAAAAAAACATTCGAAAGAAAATCTACTTCATTATTTCATCTAATGACAATTATCTAAAGTTCTATGTCAGATCAACATTTAACGACCGTTCAGTGTGGTGAATTGATCGATCGCATCAATCAAAACAATATTTGTGTGACGTTTTGATATAATATTGCACAGTTTCATTATTGCAATAATCATCACTTGAGTAGCACCAAGAAGAACGGTGAAAATAAGAAAGAAGATGCACCCTAGAATAGCGGCAAACATCAATGCCGTAAATCCAGATATATTTTCGACTGCATTCAAATTAGAACCTTCTTCAATAATCGCTCTCACCTGAAGAACACATCAGTTTTATAGCACAGCATTTTAATTATGTATGTTTCTTCAACGAATGAGGTAATGATCCATTGCTAAGGAATACATAGCTGAATATATCATTTCGATGAAACTATAGTGAAAAGAACAGTAATATGCAATAATCAGTATGCACATTTTAAAACGAGAAAAACCCAAAGAAGCAACGAACAGTTGCAGTATCAGCCAATAGGACTGCATACATAAGCGGTGTACAACCCTCTGGTAAACTTGTATAAGTTGGAATACGTTCTCTTAATGCACTCCTTATCGCCAGCTCATCACGTACAATAATTTGAGCACGTAAGTCAATTTTTGTTGGTTTATCTTCTGAAATATTATCCATGCAATACTTGTAATATAATAAGAATAGTGCACTGCTGAAAATATTGGTGTCAAAAATAGTCATGTCAAATAATGATATTGACAATGATGGCTCACCGCTGAATGAACTCTTAAGTGTTTTCGTAATGATCGTAACGATATCATCGCGATTCAGGGAAGATGCTAATTCGATGGCCGTTCGACCACCCAATGAGCGAAATGAAGCGTTCGCGCCGAGTTCGAGAAGTGCACGCACCACTGAGGTGGCACCACATGTGATCGCTACAGATAACGCTGATAAATTCCATAATCGTGCTATATGTCCATCCACATATGCGCCCCTGCAATCATTCCGCCATTAATTGTTCAGCTCTTATTGTTAAGTGCACAATTATCTTTCATCATCATTCAACTTAACCTGTGTGTTAAAAGTGCGCAAATATGAGTATGACGTCTCAATGCTGCAGCGATAATTGGTGTCGGACAAAGTGCTGTATGCGACGGATTAACACTGAGACGTAAATCTAGAAGTAATTTCACTACATCGATATGACCTCCAGCAGCAGCCAATGTCATCGCTGATGCACCCAAATACCTAAAATAGAAGTGTTATTGGATGTGTCTTACGATTAGTATATCTCGAAAAAAACCGAATCAGTTTAGAAATTCAATATTTTTGTGTATGGAAACAGACAGTCGTTCGAAGTTCTGTACGGATGATATAAAAATTGAAAATAAATTATGCAATAATCAACAATTATTAACAACAAACGTTAGCTTTTGATAATTAGCACCGCGTTGCACCAAAATACGTACAACATTAATATGACCATTACGACATGCATGATGAAGTGGAGTCATCCCAACTTGATTACTTTTTTCAATATCCGCGCCATTATCTAATAGATATTCAACCTGTTTCGCAAAATTTCGCGTTATTTTTCATATATTTTCAACCATAAATTAGCATGATAAACATATGAATGAAGATGCTAATAAAAACCAACACTAGAAGAATATAGTGCAGAAATGAATTGAGATGAATAAAGTGAATACTTACGATGCCAATATTTCCGGTGGACGCAGCCATCTGAAGTGCAGTAACGTGATCGTCGTCGAATGCATCGATAAAGAACGTTTTCGAATCGACGATGCGATGCACTTCGTCAACGTTCCATGCTTCGCAAGCATTCAGAATTTGATCGAGCATCGATAGTCCATTTACATTGCTGCTGCTCATGTCATTTTTATCCAACTTCGAAACCATCAAAAATTTTCATTCACTACGCTCGACAATACAGCAATAATCACTCTTCTATAAACCGGTCTAACACCTTTTCGTATATATCAACAAATATATATA